CCAGGTTCTGGGATGCTCACTCTGGCTGACCTCCTCCCCACTGCCTGTTCAAGGGGCTTTCACTGATGGAGCACCAGCTGGAGCAGAGCTCCGCCCAAATCTTCCTCATCCTCCTCCATCCTGCCCCCTTGGAGCTGTGAGACTTCCAGAAGAACAGCCTGTTCCCCAGCATCTGGAGCTGGTTTCTCTGAGGGAGGTTCAAGGGCAAGCCAGGACCCAGGCAGAGATGCTGCAGGAAGGGCCTTGATGCCAGTGCTTACGGCACCTCAAAAGGGAGAAGACCCCCAAAAAGAGGAAAGAGAAGAAGGGGAGGTATCTTTTTGCCTCTCCTTGGTGAGGCAGAGCAGCTAGGTCAGGCAGGACATGGGACCTTCCTGGGAATCCTGGAGAGCCTCCCACTACTCCAGCTCCACTCCAGAGAGTGAAGGCCTGAGTCCCCAGGGGGGGTTGGCAGCATTCCGGGGCGTCATGGGGTGGGGGAATGAAGGGAGGACATGGGTGGAGTGTAGGGTCAAAGAATGTGTGTGGGGGGTGGGGATGTTCTGGTTCACCCTTAAAGCTTTAGCATCCACAGTGCTTTGGCAGTAAAGATGAAAACAGGGGTCCCTCCGAGCCCAGAGCTCAAACTTTACTCATCCCAGAACCACAGTGAGTGATAACTGGCTTCTAGCTGTTTCTTTACCCCACTCCTTGACCTGCTCTGCAGGACTCCAGGCCTTGCAGAGTGAATCTGCCTTCTACCTCCCCAACTCTCAGTTTTCCCTAGGGCCAGGCATGCCCATCCACACTCAGAAAAAGGGACATAGCCTGGTCTTCCCCAACCCCTACCAAAGTGCCTTGCAAATACTCCTTTGCCACCATGGATGAAAGACTTTGGGGTGGCAGGTGTCAAGGTCCCCTTCTTAGAGAGCTTTTGTGACCAAGCCCGGCCTGGCTCAGGGCCCCTCCTGGTGGTTCACAGCCTAACAGCTTCCTATGGAGAAGAGGTTGCCTGTTGCCTTCTCTGGCTCTCTCCCCTTTGGCTGTGAGTGGCCAGAGGGGCCAGATGTGTCTTCTCCATCCAGCGGTCCCTGGTGCAGGTGCCTTCTCAGTGCTCAGTGGTGGAAGCAAGAGACGTACATCGGAATGAATGAATGAGGGGATCCCCAGCTGATCCAACAGAGAGCAAGGATGGACAAGAACTTCCCTGGGCTCTGGCACCCCTCCACCACTACTGCTGAGAACCCTGGGGCCAGGACCCTGAGACCCCCCCCTCCCACACACACACACAGCCTCTTCTGCAATTGTTAGTCTGTCTTGCTTTTTCAGCCATTTTCCGTTGCCTGACAGGCACTGCCCCAGCCCTTGAAATAGAACAGAGTCTACTACAGTGTGGCTAGTGAAAAATGAGTACGACTCTTATCTTTGCTGAGCTGGTAGAGGAAGGGATCAGCTCTGGTCCTAGGGGATCATTTTAGTTTTGTTGGCCTCCTGGTCTTGACTTCTGTGCTTGCTGGATTGGTACACAGCACCCAAAAAGGACTAGTTCCCACGGATCCCACAAGAACCCCTCTATGCCTGGGATGGGACTGGATATTTCATTCTCTGGCTGATTGCAGTGTGCGGCTGTTCCCCTTTACCCAGCACCTGCCTAGTGCCGCAGCGCTGTGTTCAGTTTATATGGCCAAGCCCACAGCTGCTGTGAGGCTGCTCTCATGGAACTTTCTCAGGGAGGAAGCAGGCACCGAGCCAATGGAATAACTGCAACCTGGGAGGAGGACTATGGAGAAAGCTTCGGTCTGAAACAGAGAACTGGGGCCCCAATTCAGGTGGCTGGGGGAGGTTTTGACACCGGAACCGGGGCCGCCATGCTGAGCTGGAGGGACAACAGGCCAGCTTAGCTGGTCTGCGGAAAAGCTCAGCTGTGCACTGGGTGAGTCTGGATCCGGGAGCCCTGGAGCAAGTCCAACAAGGTGGCAGCATGAGAAACCGTTGCTCAGAAGGAGGTCTGAGCTGCAAGTTCAAATCCCTGGGAGCCAGACAGCGCCAGACTGTCCTTGAGCTGGGCTGCAGGGGACTGTGCTGCTGCCTGCAGGTGGCTGAAGACAATGACAAATCACTGGGGACCAGGAGCCCCTGGTGACTGTCACAGGCAGTGTGAGCTATAGGATTCTGAGGACTGGAGCCACATGGGAGGAGTCTTTTGCCTCTCCTCCTCCCCTAAAAAAAATGTGGGACCAATTGGGTCCTCATTTGTTAGTTCATTCATTCATTTCGTCCTAGGGGCACAGCAGTGCACAGGAAGCTAGAGTCCCGATCTTAGAGGACCCAGCATGGGTCCAGGAACAGGTGTCCTTTCTGAGCACGATCCCTGAGGTCTGTTTTTCTAGTGGATTCTACTCTGAGATTAGAAGCCTTGGCCCCCTTCTTCCTATTGGTGAGAAGTTAAAGAGAAACACACACACGCACATACACCCCACCCTCCCTTTTAAGAGCTGGTAAAGGCCCACCCACATAGGAACACCCAAACACACATACTTCTCTAATCTTCTCAATCTCCCAAAGGCTGGGGCAGGGAGGTGGGAGGGTTTGGTGGGGGGGAGGATGAGCTCAGAGGCCAGGCTGAGGCCCTGGGGAAGCCCTGCTTGATATGACACCACCCCCTCCCGCCCCCATCCCCTTGCCCCTTGCAGCCCCTGTCCCTAGGGCTGGTCCCAGAGTTTGCATTCATCCCCCACACCTGGCCTGGCCAGCTGTTGGGAAGTGAATGAGTGTGCTGGGCAAACATCCTTACAGCTTCCTGCTACTCCCCCTCTGAGACAACACAGCTCTTCTTCCCCCTCTTTCCCACACCCTCCCAATCAGAGCCTTTGTGGGGGAGAGAGTAGCAGCTGGGGGAGGGACAGGGAGGAGATGCCCCCACAGCTGGCAAGAAGAGCAGCATCTTCCGGGTTGTAAGATCCTGGAGCTGTCCTCATACAGGACAAGCAAAGCCCCCAGCTGTCCCCTAGCACACCTGCCTGGGCTGTGTGTGCAGGCGGCTGGCCCTGTCCAAGTGGAAGCCTGCTTCTTGCAGAGCTGGAGTCCCCAGGGCGTGCGTGCGTGTTGAGCTCTGTCTCCTGCACGTGTTTCCCACCTGACTTAGCCTTCACCGGGCTTTTTTGAAGGGTGGTGAACAACCTCCTTCCTGTCTCTCACACTGACAGGCCCAGCCACTGGGCCTTCCCTTCCTGAACCGAAGGGACCGTTCCCCATCCGCAGGCCACTGGGTTGACACGACATCCCAGCTGTGGGCCTGAAGGTGGAAAGAAGGGCTGGAGATGAGGAAAAAGGCACTTGCTCAGGGCCATGCGACTGCCTGAGTAGTTCTTTCTGCCATCCCCCTTTCATCTCCACCAGTGCCAAGTCCCCTGGGAATGCTGTGTGTGTGTGTGTGTGGGGGGGGGGGTTCTAATGGTCCCATTTTTCAGAAGAGGAAACCAAAGCCTAGGAGAAATGTGACTGTTCTGAGCCACCAGCCAGGACCATAGGGTCTATTGGCTCACTGGGGAGCCTGCTCTCCTCTCCACCCTAGACACCCTCTCCTTCCCCACCACCCATGCAGCACTGTCCCTCCCCCGTGTCCCCTGGGCTGCTGGATGCCACTGTCGGACCCTCCTTCCGTTCTCCGCTGAGCCCCAGGCCAGCAGCTGGGGCTGCGGGGCTGAATGGAGCAGCAGAAAGAGGCTGCAAGCCCCAGAGTTCACTAGAAGGCCGAGCTCAGAGCTACGGGTGGGGGTGGGTGGGGGGCAGGGGAACTGGCCCCAGGACAGTGTGAACTCCTGCAAGCCCCACTTCCCTCTGACCACCCAGGAGGGCTAGCAGGAGCCCCCCAGGGCCTCCCCTTCTGAGCTGTGCCAGAATCAGGCCCAGGAAAGACTTGATCCCAACTGACCTCACTGGACAAGGCAGAGAAACTGAGGCCCAGGAGCGGAGGCATGGACCCAGCTCCCAAGAGGGCAGCGGAGGAGGCAGGACTAGATTCTGGTCTGTCTGCAGTCTGGGTCACTGAACGGGAAAATCCAACAGACCCAGGGGCCTGGCCAGGTTCAACTCAGTCCGGGGAAGGAGAGGGCAGCCCTAGAGACCCTGGCACGGTGGAACACAGCAAAAAGGCTCCCCAGGTAGTCCACATGTTGGGTGCAGTAGGCTCTTCCCCAGCCCAAATATGTTCTTGCCTTCCTGAGCCCTGCCCCTCCCCCACGAAGGCCTTAGGGCCGAGCCTGAGAGAGGGAGGGAAGGAGGGAGGGAAGGAGCCAGAAAAGCCACGTTTCCTTAGGGAGGGAGGGGAAAAGAGAGAAAGAGGAGTCGGACAGACAGGGCCAGGGACAGACAGGGGAGGTGGAGAGAGAGAGAAAGTTAGCAAGATGTAGGGGACCTCGTCGGGGAGCAGCACCCCCAGAGACCCGAGGATGGTGAGCAAGGCCTCCCTCCGCCCGAGCCAGCGCACTGGGCCGCCCCGACCCCTTGCCCCACCCCCTAGGGGAGACTCAGGCCTGACACCCCGGGGCAAGGAAGGCGGCTGGGGCAGCACCCCTAAGTTTCTGCCTCGAGCCCTTGGCACTCCGCACGCGCCCCTGCGCGCCCTCCAGCGGCAACTCAGCAAGGGGGCGCAGGAAAAGGTGCCACCACTTCGCTCCCAATCTCGACCTGGCACCCTTGGGGTGGGTGAGGGACGGCTTGGGGGACGCGGGAGTGGTGTCTGTCCAGCTCCTCTCCGACGCCCCGGATACCCTGTCGGCTACTTAGCGTGTCTCTGCGCCGAGTCGGCAGGAGGCTCGGGTCTAACCGGTGTGTGTGTGTGTGTGTGTGTGTGTGTGTGTGTGTTGGGGGGTGGGTGGACATCTCAGGACTCAGCACGTGTTCCTCCCGAGCCCCCTCCCCGGCTCCTGCCCGCTGCCGTGCCGTCGGGGTCCTGTCCCGGAACCGCGAAGTGCCGAGTTGGGGCACAGGGAAAAATGAGGGAGACCCTTTTCTCTTACCGCATTGTTGAGGAAATCCGACTCGTTCAGATCCCCCAGGTCCAGGAAGCTGGAGCCGGGGAACAGCCTGTCGGTCGGGAAGGGCTCCAGGACGGCGTCCATCGCGACCGGCTCGTGGGGGGACCCCCCTCGGGCTGGGCGTCCCTCACTCCAGGGCGGCGGCGCGGGGCGCCGAGCTCCTGCTGCGCGCTGGCGAGCCGGTCGGGGGGCAGGTCCAGGGCCAAGGCCCCGCGGGAGGGGCGGGCCGAGGCGGCGCGGCCCCGGGCCGGGCCGGGGGTGCTGGGGGGCCTGGGGGCAGGGGCGCAGCGCGGGCCTTCAGCCGACTCCTCCTCCTCCTGCTCCTCCCGGGGCACAGCGGGCGTCCATGGGGAGCCCGGGGGTGGGGCTGAGGGCTGGAGGAGCCCCCCCGGACAGGGTGGGCTCCCCCGAGTGCTCCCCCGACTCTGGGTGGCTGCCGGCGGCTCGGCACCCTCCGCGTCTCCCTCGGCGCCGCTTCTGTCACTTTGCTCTCAGTGGAACCGGGAACCCCTGGCCGGGGCGCCACGCCCCCACAGCAGTGGGCACGATACTTAATATTCATAAGATGGGGCGTGCCTTGCCCCTCGGCCTCCTCTTTTAAAGAGACCTCAAGGCAAAATCCTGCCAACCCCAGTTGTCTTGTTAAGCCTTTACTGGCCACCATCCTCTGTGTCCACGCGGGAGCTGGATCCTGTCCCTTCTTCTCGTCTGATGCTGAAGTTGGAACCAAATCCGAAGTCAGGAAATTCCATTTCCCTAGCTCCTGGTCAGGAGTTAGGGCTTCTTTGGGCCGAAGGATTTGGACCATCTTCCACTGCTTTCCCAGCCCTTGAGCAGGAACCTGGATTGGAAGTCGAGCAGCTGGGCCCGGCGCGGTGGCGCAAGTGGTTAAAGGTCCTCGCCTTGCACGCCCGAGATCCCATATGGGCGCCAGTTCTAATCCCGGCAGCCCCGCTTCCCTTCCAGCTCCCTGCTTGTGGCCTGGGAAAGGCAGTTGGGGACAGGCAAAACCTTGTGACCCTCCATCCATAAGGGAGATCTGGAGGAGGCACGTGGCTCCTGGCTTTGGATTGGCTCAACTCCAGTCGTTGCGGCTGCTTGGGGAGTGAATCATCGGATGGAAGATCTTCCTCTCTGTCTCTCCTCTCTGTACATCCGCCTTTCCAATAACAAAATAATAAAAATAAATTAAAAAAAAAATAGGAAGTCGAGCAGCTGAGACACTAACTGGTGCCCATGTGGGATGCTGACACTGCAGGCAGTGGCTTAATTCTCTGTGCTACAGCGCCAACCCTGATTTCCAGTTTCCCAACTCTCATCTTTCAGCTTCCAGCTGGCATGGTACTTCCTCCAGGAAGCCCTCCCTGAATTCCCAGACTGGAACAGCTACTGCTGCACCCACACAGGACTTGATGTGTCCTGCTGGAAGGAGTCATGTGATGCAGTGTTGCCTCGTGTCACCGTGACCCCACTGGACTGGAGAGACAGCTCTGGATGGGGACCGAATGAGGCTTCCCTGTGTGGGAAGTGCCTCTGTGTTCCTCTGTCATCAGGTTCCTGAGTGGGTCACAACAGAAAGTCGAAGCCTAGTGGTCCTGGTGTCTGAATGGGCCAAGGTACGGACTGGTTGTGCACTGCACGCTCGTTGGGCCCTTTACCTGAGGACTGGGCCCTGTCACTACATAATCTCTTAAAAGGGTTGGTAAATAAATCAGCCTGGTGCACCTGAGTAAATGTCCAAGGCTCAGGAAGGTGTGCCCTGGAAGGGCTGGGCGCACACACCGTTCCCTGCCTATAAGTCACTAATAGGGTTATGCCTGCCTGGGTAACTGGCTCAGGGACATGAAGACCTCCAGAGGCGGCGATGCCGTTGGTGTCACTGAAGCGCTTGGTCAGAGCCAAGGTTGGAGCTGCGCTGGCCTGCAGGCTGAGAAGCTGAGGTTGGCTAGCAGGCAGGTGCCTCCCCACGTCCTCCTCCCCCCATCTCATGACTCAGTGGCCACAGTTCTGGAAGGTGAAGGTGTGACCTTCCAGTCTGTCACGTGACATGTGTCCCTGGGAGGTGACGGGAGGGGGACACTTCCAGGAAGCCGGGCTCACAGGTTTACCCAGCAATGGTTTACTCCCAATGCAACACAGAGGAGTCAGATTGGGTAAAAACAAAAACAAAAACAAAAAACAATTCACATTTAAAACAGCAGCAGGGAGCTTGAAGGTGCTTTTTCCAACTTTGTCACCTCTGGCCACACAGGGGGCAGGAAAGGCGGTGGCAATCAGAACCCAAGACGGTGGCTGATCTCAGAAGATCAGCGTGCAGTGAACCAGCCCATTGGCTGTCTGAGTTTGGGAAGATGATGATGCTGACAGCAGGTGTCTGAAGTCCTGGGTCCTGCTCTGGGGGGTCCCTGCTGGCCCCCAGGACAAGCCAAAGTGCCCTTGTCCCTGAGGTCGCCTGTATTCCTCCCAGCCTGCCCTGTCATTAGAGGGACAGGTGCCATTTAAGCGATTGGGGAAGATTATATAGTTTTAGATAAGTAGGATGAAAGTGGCCTGTCTTTTCTTATTCCTGCCCAGGTGAACACCCCTGGACAGCATTGAAAATAATCCTGGGGATATATGCTGGGTTGGGCAGGATCTCCTGGGAGAGATCCTGGAGAAGTGGGAGTGGAGGAAGGGTGGCGGTGGAGCACAGAGAACACGCTGCTGGCATGGTCATCTTCCTTCTTGGAGTGAAGGGGACAGCAAAATCCAGTGGACATGAGAATGACTGGGGCTTTCTTCGCACATCCCAAATACTCGCACCTACTGTAGTCACTTCCTATACCCCACGGGCTCCTGGAGCAAACTCAGTGCCGACTGAGTACACTCCAGGATTCATGTGGGAGTTTGGGCCTGGAAGGGTGGTGTGTGGGCAGGCGGTTTTAAGATGGTTTCAGAGAGGGATGGGTCTCTTGAAGAAGGGTGAGTGGTGTGATGTGGCTGTGAGGGGTCGGATAAGCCGCCCTGGAAGGGGCTCCTGGCCTGAGTCCTTCGTGGGGCAGGCTGGCAAGAAAAGCATTCTCTGCAGAGGGAACAATAAGTGGGAGGGAAAGAAAGGCCTGACCAGGAGGGACCAGCCGAGGCACAGGAGGAGACAATGAGCTGATCCAAGGCCTTGACCAGACTGGCCCTTTTCGGGACATTTTTTTTTTTTTTCAGTTCATGCCAGGACTGAACAGAACTGTGCTGGCTCAGACCAACCATTCCGCTTGCATTTCTTGGGGATTTTCCGGGATGAGTATGTTTGGTCACGTGGTCAGGACCAGAAGGCCTGGGGTTGAGACTGGGCTGAGCTCCCTGTTCATGCAGACCCTGCAAACAGCAGTCATGGCTTAGGTGGTTGCATTCTTGCCATCCATGGAGTGAGGTCCTGGCTTCAGCCTGGCTCAGCCCTGGCTGCTGGGGACATTTGGAGTGTGAACCAGTGGATGAGCTCTTTCTCTCTCTTTTGCTTCTTCCTATTTTTTAAAAAAACGATTTATTTATTTTTATTAGAAAGGTAGATTTACAGAGAGAAGGAGAGACAGAAAGATCTTTCATCTGCTAGTTCACTCTCCAACTGGCTACAATGGCGAGAGCTAAGGTGAACCAAAGCCAGGAGCCAGGAGCTTCTTCTGGGTCTCCTAATGCAGGTGCAGGATCCCAAGGCTTTGGGCCATTCTTTTTTTTTTTTAAAGATTTATTTTTATTATTTTTTCATTGGAAAGGCGGATATACAGAGAGGAGAGACAGAGAGGAAGGTCTTCCGTCCGATGATTCACTCCCCAAGTGAGCGCAACGGGCCGATACTATGCCGATCCGAAGCCAGGAGCCTCTTCCGGGTCTCCCACACGGGTGCAGGTTCCCAAAGCGTTGGGCTGTCCTCGACTGCCTTCCCAGGCCACAGGCAGGGAGCTGGAAGGGAAGCGGGGCTGCCGGGATTAGAACCGGCGCCCATATGGGATCCCGGGCGTGCAAGGCGAGGACCTTTAACCACTTGCGCCACCGCGCCGGGCCCTGGGCCATTCTTGATTGCTGTTTTCCCAGACCACAAACAGAGAGCTGGATGGGAAGTGGAGCAATTGTGACATGAACTGGCACCCATATGGGATGCTGGTGCTTGCAGATGGAGGATTAGCCAATTGAGCCATTGTGTCTGGCCCCTGACCCCTCTGTAAAAAATATCTTTATTTAATTGAAAGGCAGAATTACAGAGAGAGGAAGAGATAGACAGATCTTGATCTTCCATGTGCTGGTTCACTCCCCATATGACTGAGGTCGCTAGAGCTCAGCCCATCTAAAGCTTCTTCTGGGTCTCCCATGTGGGTGCAAGGGCACAAGCACTTGGGCCATCCTCCAGTGCTTTTCCAGGAGCATCAGCAGGGAGCTGGATTAGAAATGCAGCATCTTGGACTTGAACTGATACCCCTATGGGGTGCCAGTGCTGCAGACGGCAGATTTTTTTAAAAAATTTATTTTTGATGATGTTTACATAATTGATTAGGTGGGAAGGGTCGAGGATTAGAGGAAAATGCATGAGACCATTGTTTCCAAACATTCTTTTTCTTCTTCCTGCATCTGGGGGGATGGGAATATAAGAGAAGAGGCTGTACCCGGCCTCCCAACAACCTCAGTACCTGGGGATGGGGAACGGCCACCCGATGTCATCCCAGGGTCCCTCATGTGGAGCGTGTTCTGCGGATTCTGCTCAAGTGGTTACAATAGTTCTGAAATGCTGTTGCTCTCACTGATCCAAGGATGAAAAAATTCTTCCAGGGTCCACTGGCTGACATAGCCCACCCAGGAATCTCCATTCGCCTAGGTATTTGCTGCCAACACTTGGCTGGGGTAGTTGACCAATTTGTTCTGCTTTCCTTCCTCTGCTATGGTACCAGATGCCCTCTGCAGGCTCCGATCGACTGCCATGTCCTCCATGTGTGTCTGGATATGCTGGCCACTGCTCTGTCTAAGCCACTGAGAAAGCCCAGTTCTGACACATGCACTCCATGGTCAAGCCACAGATCCTGCAATTCTCTCCACGGTTGGAGTTCTGAGTCCAGTGGTTCAGCTGGGGAGATGATCCCCAAAGAAACATCATCTGAAGTGATCCTAGACCTGACTCTTGTGTGTGCTTGCCAGTATGGGGCCTGGCTCTGTCCATCCCCACATC